TTTTTTTCCATCATGCATAAATACCTTTTCTTTTCATTACTTATAATTTATTTTTCTTGACAGTCTTATATTGTTTACTTGGGAGGACATTCACACGGTTCAGAATTAACTTCTTCTGATCTTCACCGGGTCAATGAATTCCATCATGAGTTTCTTGGCTCATTCTTAGGAAGGTATGGATTATTAGATCGTGTTTGTGAAGAAATCTGCTTATTTTGTAGTATGCATAATCACTTATTTTCTTTTGTTGGGGTGAATTTATTTTCTGATAGTAAAGAGAAGGCGAAGGACTCGATAATTTATTCCTACAAGAGACATATCAATGGTTTTGCTGCTGTTCTTGAAGAGGAAGATGCATCAGAAATAGCAAGTATGACAATAAATATTTTCTTACATTTATTCCTATGTTTCCTATGTCCTAGGTTTATAGCATGTTTGGTAATAAAGAAAAAAAAGGCTAAAATCTCGATCATTATAGTGTCCAATACCGCTGATTTTGTACTAAAACATGTTTTTTCATTGAAGAGCATCCAGATGTAGTATCTGTTTTCTTGGATCAAGGAAGAAATTTACACACAACACATTCATGGGATTTTCTAATGTTGGAAAGAAATGGAAATATTCACGCCTCGTCATTATGGGTAAACTCGGGGTTTGGTGAAGATACGATCATTGCAAATCTTGATACTGGTAAGATTAAGTTTCCACCTTTTGACACTTTCATTTGAATCTCTAAACTGATCCTGCATTTTAAATTTTAAAGATGAACATGAATCAATAATTTTTCATTGGTTTATTAGGCGTATGGCCTGAGTCAGAAAGCTTTAATGGCAAAGGATTCGGCCCCATTCCTACGAAGTGGAAAGGAATCTGTCAACTTGATGGCAGTGCTGGAGCCCCTTGCAATAGGTACTTTCTTTTGTTTCTCCTTTCTTTATCAGTGACACTAATAATATGATGATTTTTTCGAGTATAAGACAAGGATGATCTATGTAATAACATTAAAATATTGTTATCGTTTGTTTTATGAATCTTCTCGATTATCATGCATTTCATTGCTCTGAAGAGTAAAATGTATCTGAGTGAGGAAGGAACGTGGGAATGGCCCGGGAGCCACGAGAGCACTTTCTTGGCAGTAAATTGTGCTTTGAGTACATAGTGCCTATGCTAGGTTCTCATAATCAGTAAAACTTTTGTGGAAGTACACCACATACCGATGAGTTCACTCCAATAGTAGATTATTATGAATCACTTACGGCCAAGGTAGGCTGATGACTTGACAGTATTAGAAAGAAAAGGAAACTAAGCCCTTGTTTAATCCTCATTATTTTCAAAATGTATTTTTATCTATATTATTTTCAACTATACGTTTTTCAATAAAATAATATTATACG